GAAAAACAATTAAATTAATGTTTTTTTTAAAAATAGATGACGAGAGTGTATATATAAAAGTAGTCATAATCACGTTAATTGATAAGCTAATAAATTAAAATAATTTATGATAACTTAAATTAGTGTGTATGTATTTAGTATTAGGTATATAATATAAATATATACCTTTAATTTGCTAAAGGTAACTTTAAAAGCAAATTAAGAAAGTATTTTTGAATTCGAATAAATACAATATGATATTTTTAAATCTTCTAGCTTTATTTATGTTTTTAATAAAAGGTTCATCCGGTCCAACATGTCCATTTGTCACCTTCAAATACAGTCTCATTTGTGGTCTTTAGTTTGAACTTAATTTTAAAATGTACTCCTTTCATCTAGTAATAATTGTCGCTATTTTGTGTTGGTCTTTAGTGTATGTCCCTCGTAATAAAATAATTTTTTTGCAGGATATAAATTTATATTTTTGTGTAATAATAAACAATTATATCCAGATATAACTTCACCTACTAGATATAACTTCGATTGTCAAAGAGCAAAAACTAAAGATTAAAGGAAAAAGGTGCAATTTTATGTTACAAACCCTGTAATCAGGGCAGAGCCAACTTATGGTCGGTGTCATTTAAATCTTCTTCGATAAAAAATTATAATATTTATACATAATTAAAATAATTTTTTTATGTATATATAGTATATAGTAAATGTTAAACTCTTTTCGATTAATTTATGTGTTTACTCTATCATTATCAGCAATATGTCAATATAAAGATCGAACACCAAGCAAAATAGAAGCCGGCAGACGTGGTGGTTGACATTGATAAAACTAATGAGGCTTTAACTCCTACTGAACAGACATATGTGGTAACCTTAATTATATATTTTATAATATAAAGTTTTAATTGCTTTATAATTGGCTCCTGACTTTCTGCTGGTATTTCTAGCTGCCACTTTACATTATATTACTAAATTATAATTATTTGCACTTCTTAAAAAATAAAACAATATTCAATGTCCCTCTAAGAGTTGTAATAGCTTCCAACCAGTTCATTGACAGGCATTTGTCTCTTTTTGTGATAATTATTTGATGTTTTTTAATAATTCAAACTTTTTATAGTGCAATATCAATATATATTTGATGTAATTTTATAAATAGAGCCAGTAAAAGATAAAATATCAGTATATCTTAATTTTATTTTTCTGAGGATAGAAGGATTGCTTTTAATAAGTCATCGACTTAAAAAGTTATTGTGTTTCTTTATATGATGGTGTATAAAAATTGGACTTAACCTAATATAGTATTTTTACTACGATTTATAGATTAGAATTTGAATCAATAATCTTAGAAGTGCTATGAGCTCAATGATAAGAACAAGAGCTAGCATGTTTGGTATCGGAATAATAAGTGACTTTCTTTTCTCACGTTTGGTGAGTAAATAGAAAATATTATATTTTAATAAAATTTATATATAATTTAGATAAATATTATAAGAGTAATAGTGATAAAGGTTCGTTTGGAAACGAAATGCAAATGTAGGCGATTTGGGGTGTTTGGGCGGGGGTGGGGGGACATTAATCAATATGAAATGTCATTTATGAAATTTATTTTTTCTTATTAATACTCTTTTCGTCCACTTTAAATTGTCATGTTTTGTTTTTCGAAAGGCAATTTAACTAATTTACAAAGTTAAATTAAATTACATTAATTCGATATTCTAAACAAAAAAAATTAGTTATTCAAAAACTATACGAAAAGTACTATAAATTGCAATTTTTTGCACATCAATATGATGAAAAAATATATCGTAAAATGTTAGTCAAAGTTCTTATCGATTGACTCTAAAAAGAAAATCATAACAATTAAAAATAGACGGAGAAAATATTAAGAAAAATAATGTTCATGATTCATTTTTTTTTAAAAAAATTCCTCATATTTATTTGATTTAATTTTTTTTTTTAAAACATATGAAAAAAAAAATTCTCTCCATGTCAAATACTATCTTAAATAGCAAAAATCATCAAATTTAAATTCTAAATCAATCTCACAACTAAGGTTCCATATTAAACTCTTTGACTTTGAGAACTAAGACAAGTCATAATACGAAAATATTCAAAATTTTCTTTAGAGTGACACATGCACTATTTTCACAACCCCTCAACCCCCACCCACCCCTCTTTTCTTTCTTGACCCTTCAAAAACTCTTCTTTCCACTATAAATACATATATATTTTTCTTTCCTTCAATCCTCACTTCCAAATTTCATAAACCTCTTCAATTACCAAAAAAAAAAGTACTCTACTATTTCATCAATATCATAAATACCAAAAATGACTACTAATTATTTCAAGATTGAAAAAGAAGACAAAGAAGATATTAAACATAGAAAAGCACAATTCTTGATTTACAAGTCATTAAAGAAAGCAGATTCTGTTGTGTCTATGAGAAAGAATTCATATTGGTTGAAAATCAAAATTGGGAGGAAATTAAATATGCTGAAAAAAAGCATATTGTTTATATTTTCTTCTTCAAGAATTGGATTTTACAAGCAATTTATTTGTCAATTGAAATATTTGAAGAGTTTGATTGGAGGTAAAGAGACTATGGTTAGTCTTCCACCTGTGTTTACTTCAAGCTCCTTCTGATCAGTTCTATCTCGAGAAGAAATTGACTTATGATTTATTTCCTCAATTTGTCTTTTCAATATCTAGTTTTTTTTTTTTTTTTTGGATTTTTCAATATTTAGTATATTTCTTTGTAATTCGATTAATTTAAATTTATATTAAAAAATTTATTTTAAAAGTTAAATTCATCTTATTAAAGATAATTATATTATTAAAATTCAAACATTGATACTTATGATTAATGACGGACATGCTAAAACAAAAATGGACGCTGAATTACTCAATGGGTTTGACTTTGTGATATGTATAATGTTTATGTCAAATTAATGAATCCATGACATGGATCAATTACAATACTTTAATTTTATTATTTAATCCATAGTTAATCATAGTATTCTTTTTTTTTTTTTTTTTTGTTTTAGTTAGATGACCCCTATACTTTTTAATTTGTTTCAAAAATATTGACTCATTTTTAAAATTGAAAACAACTCAACTTAAATTTTTAGCATTTAATATTGAAGTTTTTAAAATTTTATTGCTACACAAATGTTATGACATGTAGGTCACATATTTTCAAAAACAAATATTTTTTCTTAAACATCATGCTAAAAGAATATTGTAACAGTCTAGCCCCAAGTGATATTGTTCATTTTAGGCCTTTACTCACACGACTTTAAAATGTGTTATTATGATGTAATACATGTTTATGTATATATCCGGTATATATACTGGTTTACTCATTTTTACTAAATTTGCCTAGATTTAGTAGAATTCTGACCCACTATCAGCAAGGTCAACACATAACCGACTCTGATACCATCTATAACGATCCATCATGTTAGTAATATTGTTTGTTCTAGGCCTAAGTTCACACAAATTTAAAACATGTTATTAGAATATAAGACCTAATTATTATATACTCAACATCTCTCTTTTATTTTCTAAATATGATAATTTTATCCTAATTTAGAGTGTTACAAATATGTAATTTTTATTGGGTTTGCGGCTTTGGATAGCCTTGAAAAATGGCTTCATGTCCATGGATTCCCAATCCAATATGTTGGGAAAGCCATGACTGTTGAAGTGATTGTTATTATGAAGGCTTTTGAATGTGCTATTAGTAATGGATGGAAGAATATGAAGATTTTCTCTGATGCAAAAATTATTGTTGATATGATCCAGAAATAAGTGGTTACGTCATGAAAAATAGAAGTGACGTGTGAAGATATTTAGATATTCTTGACCATCTTTGATCATGTCAATTTTATATATATATTCCTAGATGTTTGAACAAAATATCTCATAGATTAGCTAGATTTTTCAATATTTTTTTTGCTATATGAGATCTCTTGGGTAAAGTTTTTCTCAAGCTAAATTGTACACGAGGCCTGGGGTACATTTGAATTATGTAATTTCTTAATGTAGTAATACAAAGTGGCTAGTTCTGATGAAAATATTACTCCCTCTGTCCCATTTTATGTGGCAACATTTCCTTTTTGGTCAGTCCCAAAAAGAATGTCACATTTCCTTATAAGGAAAGTATTTAAAGGTACAATTCCTTTTTTATCCTTGTTGGTCCCACTTAATCTTAAAATAATACTCCAATACATTTATGAGGAGAGAGAAATTGAGTCTACTTTTTAAAAGGGCAATTTGGTAAACATTTCAAAGTCTTCATTTATTTCTTAAACTCCGTGCCCGGTCAAATGTTGCCACATAAAATGGGACGGAGGGAGTATATTTTAAATCAGATGAAGTTAGAATTTGATTTAGTCAGATACAAAAATAAATAAAAGTATATAAAGCCTCATGAGGGGAACAAAGTCCCGAATTCCTAGAATTGTTGTGAAATTTGAATCAAAAAATTACTTTTTCTAGGTATAATGATGAAATTGTAGAAATGTGATAAGAAAAAGATGAAATTGAGTGACAAATTGTAAAATTGTGATAAGAAATAAAAAATTTCGAAGAAAAATTCTGAAGGAAAATAAGAGAAGAGAAACATGAAGAAGGAGAATACAAGGGGTCGGGGGTTTAAAAAACTACTTTTTTGACTTTATTTTCAACTCAAACGCGCCTATTTTATTTCCACGTCAGTTTTGGGTGGTATTAATTACACTTTGAACAAGAATAGGTGTGTAATATGCCGTAAATCGTTATAATAGTTTAAAACATGTAACTAACTTTTCGGTACAAATTTGAAGGAAAATTTATGTCTTTTCCCTATAATAATTCGATGACATATTTACACAAGTTTTTCTTTAAATTTATATAAATATAAAAAATATTATTTAAATCTTACTTATATATAGTTTTAATATGTTATACTAGTATTTTTATTTTTGGTAAAGAGTACGAAGAAATTGGCAAACCCTCCTCTAGTCGCCATTACTGCCAACTCCTGTAAGTTCTCCTAAACCCTAAATCCTAACCCAATTTTTGTTTCAAGTGATTTTTTCTAGAAGCAAAATTCACAAATTTGAGGTTAGATAACTGTAGAAATGATTTTTGCATAACTTTTACTACCAAATTTTAGTTATTAGAGAGTAGATTCTGTATATTTTTGGCTTATTATGGGTGTGATTTTTGTAGGTTGTTCAAAATGGTTGAAACTCTGTTTGAAGATATATTTACAGTTACTCAGAAAGATCCTGATGGAAAAAAATTTGATCGAGGTATGCAAAATCATCATTAGTAATGGAATGAATTTTGAACTGTGAGCCAACACATAATCTGTAGAAGATATCAATGATTTATTTGTAATATTGAATTAATCATCTAGATACTTTTTTTATCTATGGAAGAGAGTGTCGGAGTAACAGTAAAGTTGTCTCCTTGTAACCTATGGGTTAACGGGTTTGAGTTGTGGGAGCAGTTATTATTGTTTGCATTAGAGTACACTGTCTACATCACATCCTTTAAAGTGTGGCCCTTTTTAAACGTTTTATTAGTGCAAATCATTTTTTTGATGACCATGGTTTTGGGTAGCTTGTGCGCACAGATACCTGTCATCTTCCACTCAGAACAAGTAACTATGTCCATCAAGGCTAGGACAGATGCGAAGGAATCAACTGTGCTTGGGTTTGAACTTGAGACCTTTTTCAATGTAATTTTATTCTAGTGGAAGTGAAAAGATGGTCGTGGTACACTATTTGAATGATAAGTTGAAGGGGATTAACTAAATTGTTTGTTTACTGTAGACCTGGGATGACATTCTCCCTCTGGACTGATGCAATTAGGAGAAATAGAAGGTTAAGGAAAAGATGGTGGCATTTAATAAGAAAAAGAAAAGGGTAGTATTCATCTAGTTGACTGGAAATATTCCAGATGAATGTGAAAAAGTGTTGAGCATCTGTAATGAATTTCTTAGTCTATTCATATTTGCTGGACGACGTACTTACAGTGAGAGCTGCCTTTTGAGACAAAGTTGTGGACTCTTATGTGACCATTGTTGCAATAGTTTCCACTATAGGTGATTTAACTTTACGTTTATGTAGTTGTACCTTGTAGTTTCTTCCTCGTGAGCAATAAGGGGGCTTAGGAAGGGACATGGGGTTGTGTAGTGGTTCTGCCGGCCATGGACTGACCAAATAGCTATTGGGAGCATTGAGCACTAGAGTACTGATAAGTGTATTGCTGATTGCACATACGAGGGAGCAATAAAATATAAAGTTCATGCAGTTTTCTTGGCAAAACCATGTTTAGTTTATCATTGTCACCATGAATTATCAAAGTGCAGCAACACTTTTTTTGATGTTGTTGCTGCAAATAATGTGATCGAATATATCTTGCATTTTGTAGTTAATCGCATTGAAGCACGGAGTGAGCAGTTTGATATGTTCATGCTACTGGATATAAACACTGAAATATATCCTATGCGCGTGAAGGATAAATTTATGATGGTTTTAGCTTCTACTTTGAACTTGGATGGGACTCCAGATACTGGTTATTTCATTCAGGTAATTTGCTGTAGTGGTTTATTTCTATCCTAGTTGATTTGCAAGTGTTAGCCTGTCTGATTTAATTTAATTTTGTGATTTGTGTAAAGAAATAAAAATATGGTGCTTGAAGCTAACTTGAAGTCTCTGAGATTTTGAAAATGCAAACAATATAATCCAGTCAAATTTGAGGGTGTTCAACTTACCATGACGAATCACTTTCGTCAAAGTAAGAAACATCAAGTGCCTTTTGATGACGCGAAAATATATGTACTTTTGTTAAAAAACTAACTTGCTATACAGACATTTAGAATGTACAATTTTTGTTTTCAAAAGGTAAAAAATATGCGTCTCGAACGAGTGATCCCCTTTAAGAAAATATTTAGGTTTTGTGACCTTGTCTATCTAGAGGTGATTAGACATGATATGGCGCAACTCTAGATATCTGAGGACATCACCTTAGATAGGAGGGTGTGGAGGTTGCGTATTATGGTGGAAGGTAAGTAGGACTGAAGTGTTGTCTTGCTTTTTGAGGGGTTTAGCCATATTCTTGTAGTGTCTTGCTTTTGGTTCCATCATCATTTGTTGTTTATTGTGTTTAGGTTATCACACTTTCCCTTTTTAATACCTACTTTGATATGTTGTACTCGAGACAAGGGTCCTTCAAAAACAGCCTTTTTACCTCCACGAGGTAGGGGTATGGTTTGCGTACACTCTACCCTCCCCAAACCCCACTTGTGGAATTTCACTGGGTATGTTGTTGTTGTTGTTGACCTTATTTATCTGGAATTGTTTAAAAATCTCATCGCATCTATTATATAGTTCAACTGTTAACTGGAAATAGAAACTAGAGAATATATCAACTTTTTTGTGGTGTCTGTTTTCACGTGTCATAGACACATTTTTGTTCCACGGAGGTGTGATTCCTTATGATATAGCCTTGTGATGGCTGTTCAATTGGTTTCTAAAATAATGGACAGGACAAACAAATTGTATCTGCCAGTGAAAGGGTATAATCGTTTGGTATTGGCATGTATCCAATCACGAATCAGCACAAAAGGATCCATCTATTGTGCTATTTGGAGGATTGTGAAATGTTTTTTGATCCTTGAAATATTCTTAGGATTTCCCTTTCTTTTGAGAAAGACTCAAAGACTGAGGAACCGGAAATGAAGGAAAAGGAGCAAAAAAAGGGAATTCTTGATCGAATTGTTGATGATTGAGGGACAAATCCAACAAATGGGTTTGTCAGAATTTTCATAATCAAAATGGCGAAAATGCACGACTCATTGAGCACCTTCCGTATGCAACTTTTACGTCAAAAAACGTCTGTCAAATGTATTACATTGAAGGTGCTCTAAGCCTCTAACATCCATGTGCCTTTAGTGAATATTTTAAAAAATTTAAGTTTTGCTAGTAGTTTTTTTAGTTTGTTTGGAGATCTGGGTCAGTAGAATGAGTCTTTTGTGGGGATTCATATAATTGACCCCAATTAGCTTGGGATTGAGGCATACTTGTTCCTCTAAAGTATGTTTTTAAGAAGTTACTTTTCATGGAAGTCCTTAATATGAAACTTGATTTTTTTCTTTTTATAACACCTTAATGCTTAAAGATATAAATCCTGACATAACTGTTAGGCAAATGCTTGTACGGATTTCCTTATTCCTTTTTTGGTTTGCCTTCTCATTTTTGTTCTACTTTGGTGTTTCAAACTCTTAGAAATCCTCATGGTACTTAATGGTGTTGCAACCTGATGACAGGGTAACAAGAAATCGCTTGCTGACAAGTTCGAATATGTCATGCATGGGAAGCTATATAGGATCTCAGAGGAAGGTTCGGGGAAGCACATTAAAGCGTACGTTTGGATAACTTCTCATAGTCAATTCCATGAACATGTATTTATATTTCTGGATGTTCTTTCCTTTTCATTGGTGCAATACTGTCAGTCTGTCACACCTTAGCATATATGCTTTGCTTCTTGTTTCGAAAAGTTGGCTTAGATTGACTTCTTAGGTCGCCCATTTGCTAAGATTAGATTTCAATTTGATTTATGTGACTTATTTTCTAGTGAGTCTTTTTTTCTATTGTGTTCATTTGTGGAATATAATTTATTTTCTTGCAACCCTGCTTCGTGAACTTTGCTTTTGAGCTGAGGGTCCATCCTTTCTACCCCACAAAGGTGATGTCTGCGTACATCCTACCCTCCCTGGACCCCACTTGTGTGATTACACTGGGCATGGTGTGGTTTGTTGTTGTTTAATTTGTCGAATATAAATGTACTTTCCTGTACTTGTACTTGGTCTTTCTCTGTTTTTGTTTTTGGGCTAGATGTTTTGCCGGTTTAGCCTAATGTATATTCTTTTTCAGTTTTAATTTTTAAATATATTGTTTGAGAGTTGTCTATGTTCTGGTTGTTGAGACTACTCGTTTGTTGGTTTCCGATTAGCAAATCACGAGTATTTTACTTATAAAACAATGGATTTACTGGTTTTTATTTGTCTTCAGTGACATTTTTGTTTCATTTGGAGGACTTCTGATGCAGCTGAGAGGAGATCCATCCATTGCAGCTAAGTTTGAGCTTGATCAGAAGATTTTCCTTCTCATAAGGAAGGTTTGATGTAAACAAATTTGTTAACAACTCAATTTGAACTTAAAAGGCGACGGACTATTTGTGAGCGCCTAAGCTATTGGCACGTGATAAATCGCGTGGTGGTCTCAGTTTCTCAAGGACACAAAAGAATGTAATTGAGATATATAATAACGGAGACCATGGAACAAGAGCTCTATACATGTTTTGCAAGGTTTTAAAAGTTTAGCCGTTTTAGAATCAACTTCAAATATGTGGGTCAGAAGTTGAAATCGTGAGTTTCGAATTTAGTGGACTTGCTCATTCATCAAGTGAAGTAGTCATTGTTTAACCAATCTGCTCGTATGCCAGATTGTTTGTGCTTGCTTATTGTCTCGCTCTAAATAGAATGACTCTCTTAGTTACGTTGTGTCTGACTTGAGCCCCCATGTCTGCTTTTCTCTACCCGCAATTCAATAAGTTGGCAAAGCCTACATAACATTAGGGTCGTCCCCTTCATTCTATGTGATTGACCCTAGCTTGGGTTGGGGCCTCGTCCCCTTCATTCTATGTGATTGACCCTAACTTGGGTTGGGCTTTTGGAAAGCGCGTTCCAACCAAGCTACATTATTCTATGAGTTTGTCAATGTTGAGGTAAAGCTACGTATACACCATTCTTTCTAGATCTTACTTGTAGAATTGAAATCGAGATTGTCCAACAAATATACTAAACATGGAAGTTAATCTTCTTATAAGATGTATGTATACATACACCAAATCATATCAATTTCAATTAATATGAATAAGTTGTCATAAAGATGGAACATGTATGAATAAACAATGATTTAAGTGATAAATCTTTTATAGAATATATATGTCATTCAAGATTTGAAGAAATTACCAAATATGAAATAACACTATCATGTAGTTGTATTTGGCTAAAAATCATTCAAAGATATCTTCGAGATTTATTTTCCAATAGATATATTGGCATATATACGATTGAACATAGAGTCATCTCATTCAATCATAGCTAATTAATGTATATCGTTACCTCATTAAATCACTTTATTACCATAAATTAATATAATTTCGTATAAATATTCCATGTGACAAACTTTTACTATCCCATATTTCATATATAAATAACATCACAGTTAATTATATATGGATGCGATATTCAAAATTGACAAAACTAACCCTACAAATCTCCTCAAACTCCTTTGGAGTCTTTTTCAAACCCTACATTATAATTTCTGCCTAATTTGTTTCTAAAAGCATATTTGGTTAAGCTTGTGAGTTGGTTAAACTTGCTTATAATTACAATTATTCTAAGTTTATTTACTCGTTTGGTAAATATCAAAATGTTACTTCCTCTTCATTTTGTAATCTATATCGACCGCTTCTTATTTTATAACTCTTAAATTTATAATTTTTGTAGAAAAAATTAAGGGTATTTTAGTCATTCTAACAAAAGAACAACTTATCAACATATTTTTATCAAACACATCAACCATTTATTATCAGTTTCAACACTTCTATTTAATATGTATTTGCTTATTTATAATATCAATTTTGACACTTACAAAATACTTTTCAGTTATTTACGATTAGTTAATCCAAATAGACTCTAAACCAAATGGCCCCCTAGTTTTTTCAAAATTAATTAAAACTCTAAAAAAGGGCATGCACTTTACATCGTCCCTAATTTCTTCCATAATGTACGCTTTTTAATTTTTATAGACTCAATTAAATTTATTTCATTGAACATTTGAACTCTTTCTTTTTTTTTACTATAAATATTTCAACCATTTTCCCAAACTCTCCAAATTACTCATTTCTTTCCACTATCCAAAAAAAAAATGAACACTTTTTTCAATCGACCATATATGTATTCAAAAATTGAAATGAAGACAGAGAAGATATTAAACATAGAAAAGCACAATTCTTGATTTATAAATCATTAAAGAAAGCAGATTCTGTTGTGTCTAAGAGAAAAAAATCATCATATTGGTTGAAAGTGAAATTTTGTAAGTTGAAAATCAAAATTGCGAGGAAATTAAAGAGGTTGAGAAAGAAAATATTTTTTCCATTTTCTTCTACTTCTACAAGTAAAGTTTGAAGAGTCTACTTCTACATTTTCTCATGCAGTGTTGTTGGATAATGAACGTGTTGTTATGTTTTTCCTCTCTACCTTCACGAACTAGTGGTATGATCTGTGTACACTGTACCGTTCCCATATCTCATTTTATAAAATTTTACTAGATATGTTGTTGTGTCGTTATCTTCTTTTCTTTCTCATTTTATTTTTATTTATTATTTAATAATTCTATTCTATTTCATACCTTATTTTTGTTTTGTTATAGTAGCTCTACTCCATATATATTCCCTACTTTTCTGATCAAATTATTTATGTGACATTTTATAAAGACAATAATAAATACAATCTATTTGAATAATTTTCTAACACCTTAACTTTAAAAAAGAATATTATTATGCAACCTTGAAAACCAACTCATAGAAATATACTGTTAAAAATGCTTCATCAGGATTTCCAAATTATAAGAAGGCAAAGTTTTTGTCAACTGAAAATATTTACATGAAAAGTTTACCTACTGTCTAATTATTTACAATTCTTATTACAAAAACATGCAAGAACATAGTAAATTTTTTTGTCACAATTTTCCTGCATTTGTACATTTTGAACTTTTGATGTCAATGAGCCATCTTCACACAGTTCCCTTTCTGGTCAATATTTTATGCTTCCACGAAATACTGCTAGTAAGAAAGAATGGCAGCATTATATATACAGCAGACTTCCAGTATCATCGAGGCTGCCAGCAGAAGGTATGACCATATATTTAATCCTTTAAAACCTGACGAATTAACGAGAAATCAGTGTCAATGATCAGCCCTAAGAAATGAGTAGAATACAAACAACTTAAGATGTCGTTAGTGTAATCCCACAAGTGAGGTCTAAGGAGGGTGGTGTGTACGCAGCCATACCCCTACTTTATGAAGGTAAAAACTACAAATGTGTAAGGAAAATATTCTTACTGATTTGCCCCGATGCTACAGCAGGAAGTGCAGGAATTCTCACAGCTGCAAAAGTAGGAAGTTCCGATATACATCAGTGACCAGTCATATAAGAAGAATTAACTTTTTGCAAAGTGAAACTTAATAAGAAGGAATATGGACACATACACTTCTTGCATGATGAAGCTTGTAACTGAGACATAGATGGCCAAGGAGCCGGAATGTTGTCATTTAAGTCGCATACAAAGCCGATCCCCAAAGTTTTGTCCAGTATTGCATCTGATGGTAAACTAGACAAAAGACACCCCGAAACTATTCCAACATAAAGAACAACAAATAATTATTAACTAGTACAACAACGGCAACAACTAGGCCTCAATCCCAAACTACATGGGGAAATAATTTACTAGTGCTGTAAAAATTTTAGATAAAAAAGAAAGGATGAGGCAGGTAAAGATATGTCATAGACTTGTTGTATACAAGGCGGCTAATCTCGCCAACGGAAATGAACATGTACTTCCTCCGTTTCATTTCAATTTGTTTGACTGATTTTGATTTGCCATGGAGTTTAAGAAAGTAAAAAATACTTTTGAATCTTATGGTCTTAAACTAAAGATATGTAGAAATGTATGAAAATGCTCTTTAATCTTATGGTTGTAATTATGCCAATTGCCATGTGGAAAGATAGAATTAAAGGATTGCCAAAAAAAAAAAAAAAAGAGGCATTCTTTTTTTAAACAGAGTAAAAAGGAAAGTAAGACTTCCAGTTACCAATTTCAAAGAAAAAAAGAAGTACAGACAAACAAATTGAAACGATTGGAGTAATACATATTTAACGAGTAAATACACAGTTCTCTTCTCATAAGCGGTTTCACACTTCACTAGCCGAGGTTCAAAGATATCCAATTTAATTCAATCAATTGTTCTTCTGTACAGCTAACATTGATTCAACGTTCTTTTTTACCGAAAAGTTCTGTCAGTCTTAATGTTCTTTGAGTTCATAATTAATCACATCTATCAAAGCATCTCGATCAACATCTTCCAAGGTATCCTAATCGAAAATTTTAATATCTCATTATCAGGAGTATTAATTGTCAAAGAAGGTAACATGATGTGATAACTAAGGAACAAAACAACAAAGTAGAAAAGAAAAGGAGTATAGGAATGGACTAGCAAACATGTAAAGTAGGTTTATTACCTTCTGGTGTAACTGGTGTAGTATAGTCATTTGAAGATAACCAGATGCCACAAACATGACAAGATCAAAATTTGAAGTCAGCTCAAGGTATTTGTATGCTGTACAATGCACAAAAGAGCATTCAAATAAAAACTGACCTTGTACAGAAAAATCCTTGAGGCTAATGTGACAGAGATTGTAGACATTTTTGCTAACATTGTCTTTCTGTAGCTTAAGTCCAAGCGAGGCAGCACAATCCAAAGCTTGCAAGTTGGTGACAAAGCTCTGCCTCTGTAAGTGAGACACATACCTCTCGACAGTATTACAGCATCTTGTTTGGTTATTCATCCCATCTCCACAAGCCTTTGTAATATTTTTCACGTTAGGAAAAACCAAAGGGCACACTAAGGGGAAGAGAAAACAGATTAGTAGATTTATAATATTATGGAAATGCAAAGATAGAAGGTGAGAATGGAAGCTAGATTCTAATTTCTTCAGCAAGAATTTTGGTAACTTTGTGGAGCCAGTAGCATTGAGGATGATCAAATAACCAAGACTATGTTTGGTTTGGGGCAACAAGTGGAATTATAAGATAGTCATTAAAAGAAAACGTACTTCATCTTTACTTCTGTATTTTTCTTTTAGCTCTCTGCTGTTCGTTACTCAAGCCGATGGTTTTCCGAAACAGCCTCTCTACCTTCTCAATGTAGTGGTAAGGTCGGTCTATATATACTCTACACTCCCTAGACCCCGCTTATGGGACTACATTGGGTTTGTTGTTGTTGGTACTTTCACCAGGTCATGAAACAAAAGAGAGCAAGAATACACTTTGGAATTGCTCCTAGTAATGATGGTGGGGGGGGGGGGGGGTATGAGCCCTTAACCAAGGGGAAGTACTCAATCAACCATCTTATCCTTTCCTCTTCCTTCCAAGAACAAAACATTTTAACATTATTGGTCAACACTAGCTAATAAGATGTATCGCAATAAAATTTATTAGCAAATAAGTGTAGTAGGATATATATATATGATGTGCTTATCAGAGATCACTTCCATTATTTACCATATAAAGCTTGAGAAGCACATTTGCCGCAAAGAAGCTCAAATCTAAAGGGTTAA